ACAAAGGACTTAACACCCTTAAAGCTACAACTATATTGGATTTCTTTATTCACCCTATTGTAGTAATCTTGCTTGTTTTATTAGTTTTGTGTGTGTTGTGGACCCAGTTACCTAATCTGTAAGTTGCTTATCACTTCTGCATGGACTGATGCTGCTTTGAGAACCAAGACCTATGTACTGCTATTTCTGTCATGGTTTGCCCACAGTGTTTATGCAGAGACCCATCATGTAGTCTCTAGCTAACTTTCTTGTTAACAGTATAACTCCTCATGGAAGAAATTGTAACAAAATGGGTAGAGGAGTTGGGTGGCCCTACCCATTGAACACCTGCAGATTGACTTTATCTAACTTCCAGAGTCTATGGGCTACAGATATGTTTTGGTGTACAGAGACCAACTGAGTTATTGGGTAGGGGCTTTTCCTGCCAACCAGTCATACCAAGGTTACTGAGTGGACAGCCTTAGATACATCACTGTCATATGCTGCTTGCCAGGATTGACCTCAGCTCAGTAGAGGAAGCAACCCCTGATCAGCCCCTAGACCCCAAGTTACCCTAACACCAATCAATGATCTTTTGCTTCACTGTAAGTATAGTTAACACCAAAGGACAGTTAACACTAGGACAGTCAGGCTAAGTGACCCCCATGTTTTTTAAACTTGTTCAACCTTTGGGTATGGTACTAAGTCAACCTTCAGGAGAGGGCACCATCCCTTTAGGACTAATCCCATCTCTTGCAGACTACTTCAGTCACCTGAGGGCTACTCCCATCTCCCACCGAAGTTGTAATGGGGAGGAGCTGAAGTGATACTAATCCCACCTCATTGAGAGGTCTACCAGTGAGGATTGTCTTACCCTTATATGTAAATTGTTTTGTTGTTGCTGTTGTTGTTCAGTCATTTCAATCGGTCTGTTTGTTACTCCATTTGGCATTGTCTTGACAAAGATACTGGAGTATTTTGCCATTTTCCTACTCCAGCTCATTTTACAGATGAGGAAACTCAGGCAAACAGGGTTAAGTGATTTGCCCAGGATCACACAGCTACTAAGTGTCTGAGATCACATTTGAACTCAGGATGGTGAGTCTTTCTGACTTCAGGCCCAGTACTCTATCCACTGTGCCACCTAGCTGCCCTGTGTACATTGTTCCAGAGGCCACCCACACTCCAACTGCTTGATGCCTTGGTGTGCTAGAAAACTCCTTTTTGTTTTATTTCCTGCATTTGCCTTTAATTGACCAGGGTAAGGCCCAAACCAGGATTTTCTTTTAAGAAGAAGTAGTGGCATCTATCATAGAGGGCTTTCTCAGGGAGTCTGGCCAATAAGGGGAGAAATACAGGATGTTAGCTAGCAAGGATTCAGGGATCAAGTATGGGTTGTTGTTTCTTTTTTTAAGGGCATGGGAGATATGGGTGTGTTTGTAGACATCACAAAGCAGCTAGTAGGGATTGAAGATTAAAGAGAGAGTGGGAAGGAGAGGGCAATTTGCTAGAGAAAATAGGAGGGGGTAGGATCAAAGATGTCTGTAGAGTGGTTTGCCCTAGCAAAGAGAAAGGCCACCTCTTTATCAGAGATAGGCATGGATAGCAAGGGAAGATGTCCATAAACAAGTGCATCCCTTCAGTAGAACACAGTATTTAACAACAAGTTGCATTTTCTTGGCTAGATACAATCTTTATTTCATTTATTCATTCATTTGAGAATGGATCTCCATATCTAATCCAAGGTAGAAGTGAAGTGTGGCAGAAACCACTGCTGATCAGCATGAACTGACTTGCTTTCTGACAAGGGCAGGGTTGGGGGGGGAGGTTCACTCCACCTTGGCAGCTTGGTATAACACCCTCTTCCTCCCACCCCTCCCCCAGGGTCTCACTATGTGGGTGCTAGTGAAAACTGCTGAATTCTGCCTCCCATAGTATCAGGGATTACAGGTTTCTGGCACCATGCCCATTGGCTAGATTCAACTTGACAAGGATTCACATGATCTTCAAGTCAGAAAGGGCTTCAGGGGTTAGTCCAAGTCCCAACTCACTCCCTCTTGCTGGTACAGCATTAGAAAAAACAGGGAAGTCAAAAAAGCTGGTTCAGGGGTGAGGTTGAGATGGTAGGAGGAGAATGAGGATGATGATGATTTCAATGTGCAACATTCAATTCAATTCAACAAATATTTATGAAGCACCCAATATTTGCCAGATATCATTCAGCACTTCTGAAAGACAAAAAATGAAACCATTTCCACTTTCAAGGATCTTTAGGGGAAGTATGGGTGGGTACAATATATACAAATACAAGTATATAAAAATATATACAAGTAAATACAAAGTAATTTCAGAGCCAGGAAGAAAGCAGTAACAAATGGGGGAGGGATTGGGAGGAGCCCCATGTAGAAGGTATCCTTAAACTGAAGTTTGAACACAGTCAGGAGTTGTAAGAGGCAGATGGGAGGAGATGAGGAGACCATTCTAGGCATGGAAATAGCCTGTACAAAGCCATGGAAATAGAAGGTGGACTGTCATATATAAATGAATGAATGAATGAATAAAAACTATTAATTCTTACTATGCACAAATCACTGTGCCAAGTGCTAGGGACAGATATAAATAAAAAAAAAAATTAAGACAGTCCCTCTTCTCAAAGAGCTCACCATTCCAAAAAGGGAGGCAACACACACAGGTTTCAGCTGCATCCTCAGGCAAAAAGTCCCCAATGGTTCTTGGGATTCATCTTCTTGAACGACATTTCCACTGATAAAATAATTTTCTGATGTTTCTCCCTCAGGAAATATACCGGGCCAATTTATAAGCCAGCTTGGCTGAAATACATTGTTTGTGATGTCAGTAGCATATTCAAATAGAGATGTCAAGTACTTAGAAATGTGGAATCAAAGATAAGAGTGGTTTTACAGATTTGGGAGTCTTCTACACAGAAGTGATGAATGAAACCATAGAATTGGATAAGTTTTCTGAGGAAAACATTTTAGAAAGAAGAGAGGACCAAGATGAGAAACTGGTTTGGCTTGACTGTTCACTAGATTGGGTCCCAGAGCACAGTTCTTTTGGGAAATTCCCCTCCCACAGCAGGAATGACAGGGGCTTTAAAGGTGTGTTGTAGATTGAGGATGTCCTAAAAGCAGGTAAGAACTCCTGTGGTAGGTCTCCTGCAGGCAGGGTCTCAATGGGACTTCAGTAATAGATATCCCTGATCTAGATTTGCCTTCTCTGGGCTCGGATAACTTCATGGTGTTGTTCTGTTAGGACCCAATGCCATTTTCCTGGGCACTTCACTCCAAATTTTTGTCTATGGTTTTGCAGAACAATATATTGATGGAACTCAAGAAGCTACCTTTACTTTCCCCCACCTTGTTCTGTTACCTCCTGATTAAAAATAAGACTAGGAAGATGACTCTGTCAAAAGTTTCTTCACACTATAAATTCATTTCATCACCTCTCTAAGCCTAAAGCTAGACAGTAAGAATTTGACTGACTCCAGCTCAAACTCCACCCTAGGCTTAGTGATCTAAATTTTGCTAAGGGCATTTTTCCCCCTTTACCCTGAATCAGCAGAATTTTTGCAGCTCTGGATGCAGGCCTTTAGAGTCAGCCTAGGTTCACATCCAGCTATGCTACTCCCACAAAGTCCTCATTCTTATAATGGAGATAATAGTAGCACTTACCTCACTGGGTTAAGATCAAATAAGTAAACTTATGTAAATACAAACTATCATCATCTAACTCATCCTGTGTGACCTAGGGGCAAGCTACTAAACCTCTGTGTCAGTTTCATTATCTGCAAAATCTGCATAATTATATCTCATCCCTTACCTCACAGTGGTTGTGTGGAAAAGAGTGGCAAACCTTAAAACACACAGTATGAGCTATAATTATTAGGGTGGCACACTGGATAGAGCGCCTGTCCTGGAGTCTGGAAGAGCTGAGTTCAAATTCACCCTTACTAGCTGTGTGAGCCTGAGCAAGTCACTTTACCCTGTTTGCCTCAGTTTCCTACACCTGTAAAAGGGGCTGGAGAAGGAAATGGCAAACCACTCTAGTATTTTTGCCAAGAAAACCCCTTAAGGGGACACGAAGAGTCCTACACGACTGAAATGACTGAACAACGCAATTATTATTAGGCCCATGCTGATTCACGCCCTTCCTCCTCCTCCCTCCCACCTGACTTTGGGTTATATCGGACGTTAGAGACTCTCAGAACTTCTAGGGCCCAGTGACGTGCAAAAAGGACCTACAAGCAGCAAGCAAAAGATCGGAGAGTGAAGCCCAGGTCCCCTTAGTCTTTCCTCTACAACTTGAGTAAATTGACATATTAAAGCAGTTCCTGAAAACAAAAGTTAAACTGTACTTCACTGCTCTGGTTCGTGTGTGTCGAGGGGAGGAACCAACCTTTGATTCTTCCACCTTTGGCGACATTTCAAGATCTGTGATTTCATCAGTGTGCGCCGCCCCTCCCCACTTTAGTAGCCGCTCTTCGTGCATTGCAAAGTCTTCCTTCCACCAAAAATCATCACCTAGTAGTCAGTCTTCTGGGGATGAGCCTTATCGACTTCATGGGCTGGTCCTCCTGTTTTACTCAGAGCAATGCCCCCAAAGCACTGGAGAATAATTAACAAAGATCAGGCAATGAAAGAAAGACACATGCACCAGGACTGAGATAGGGAGGGGAAAGAGGAGCCTCCGCCTCCCCTCTCCAAGGCCTTAGGCGGGTGGTCACCTAACTGGGCGCCGCCCTGGGGAAAAGCCCGGCGAGGCCTTGGGAGGCCACTTACACTAGCCCCTTGACCTGCGGCAAAGCTGCAGGCGGGGGAGTAGCCAAGCTCGGCCGGCTCGGCGCTGCTGCGATAGGAGGCCCTGGGAGGAGCAGAGGGAAGGAAGGGGAGGAGGAAGCGGAGCTGCTCGGGAGGGGTGGGGGAGGAGCGGCTGGCTGCCCGAGCAGCTGCGGCGGCGGCGGCGGCGGCGGCGGCGGCGGCGGCGGGGTGACCGGCATCTCGCGTGTGAGGGTGCGCCTGAGCGCGTGTGCCCAGCACCCAGCGCCAGCACCATGCCCGTACACTGGCTGGCCTTTCCCTGGCTCTTGCCGCCGTCACCGCAGCTGCTGCTGCTATTGCTGCTGAGCGGAGGCAGAGGCTGGGGCTTCGCGTCCTGGGCCCGGGCGGAGGAGGCTGGGGAGCCCCTGGGCGCCCAGGGAGCAGACGGAGAGGACCCACATGCCAAGCACCTGTACACGGGAGACATGTTCACCCACGGCATCCAGAGCGCCGCGCACTTCGTCATGTTCTTCGCGCCCTGGTAAACTCTCTTCTCCTCCCCCCCCATCTTCCCTCTCCTCCCCCCCCTTGCCTCCCTCCTCCCCATCTTCCCTCTATCCTATTTTTCCTGTCTCTTCTCTGCCTACTGCCTCTGCTCCCACCCGAGACGCTCTACCCCTCCCCCAGCCCTCCGTGACCCCCAGGATTGCTTAACTTCTCCAGCCCTTTAGCTCCAGTAAATGCCCCAAAGGTTTCTCCAAACCTCGGGCTCCCGCCTGCCCCGGAGGAGGAAGAGTTGTTGGGGAGTGGGGAGAGAAAGGGCCGCGTCGGACCCCAGAGAAGGCCGGAAGACCCCAGGGCATCATAGCACTGTGGCAGCCTCGTGGCCCGGACTGGGGGTGGGGGTGGGGGCAGGCACTGAGGTGGGCGAGGCCGGGGCTTTGGGCCTCTACTGTTGACGTGGCACAAGGAGCCCCAGAGCTCTGGAAGAGCTGGCGGTCTGAGTACCCCATGGAGAAGGAGGGAAAGGGAGAACCCTGGAACTTTTAGTTTGTGGTTGTGTGTTTGGAGAAGGGAGGCTCACGGGTTCCTTTACTCAACTTGGCTCCTAAATATTCCTTTAACGTACACCAACTTCCCTTTCTTCCTTACCCCGTCCCCTAATGCCCACGCTTTAACCCTCCCCTCCTACAAACTCGAGTCTCTGTGGTGCCTTCTGAAGGACTCGGCTTTGATCCAGTGGCTTCCCGGTATTAAATGGGACACTTAGTGGAGATTCGGTTTGCTTCCTGGTCGGGGTATAGGTTTCGAATGTACAAAGGGACAGAATTCATACATACACTTTTATTAGCCCAAGCCACGTTGCAGGGACTTAGTTACAAGTTAATAACTTGTAATGTTGTATGTATATTTGTCTTTATGGGTTTGGGGATATTTTGTTTGTTTTATGGGGTAGGGGAGGAGAGAGAATGGATCGTAAAAGAGAAGTGTTTTGTTTTTACTGGCACTTCTAAACCTGCCATCCAAAAATTAAGGAGTGAGAATTATGGAAATTTTCGCAGTACCTATTTTATATCTAGTGTCCCAGATCATAGAATCGTAGATTTAGATCTAGAAAAGAATTCATATAAACAACTAATCCATCCATCCTCATTTTACAGGTAAGGACCCTGATGTATATAGTTTCCATGCCCAGGGCCAACATAGTAAGTGTCAGAGCTTGGATTTAAATTCAGGTCCTCTGATTCCACAACTAACATTCTTTACATTGCACCATCATATCACCCTACTACATTTTTTCTGCCTGGCATAAGGTCTCCAAAAGGAGGACACAGGGCAGTGACATCTTGCATTATGGAGCTCAGAGATAACATTAAAATAAAACCACAAAAAAAAGTGAAATTGTATTGGTCCTATCCCTAATACAGTGATGAGATATGATTCCTCATTTTCTTTTCTCTTGTAGTTTGGTATAAGGTGTGCTGAAAATTGGCTATGCCAATTAAACTGAATATCCCCAATGAAGTATTTAGTCTTTGTAGATAACTTTAGTGTGGTATTATCACTACTAGGTTTCTACATTTACTGTAGTATCAGATCAGTTGTTATATTATTGAAGCACTAATCACTAAAGGCAAAATTTATTAAAATATAAAATTGATTTATCATTCAATAGGCCTTTATTGACTACTAAGCAATTGTGATTAACATAGACAAATTTTCCGTCAAGGAACTTATATAGTCTACATTATGAAGGATATATACATATACCCCCAGTATCAACCCCAAAATTTTCACTGCCATAAAAGTTTTTGCAATAAAGACATTGAAAGAACCTGGGTTCACAGGTGGAGAGAGAACAGCTTCAAACAGATGTCTATGCCAGGCCAGGCCATGGCCTCTGAGGCTCTCTAGGTCCTCAAGTATGGCCCTTTGACTGAATTGGCTGCAGCTGAGGTCCTGGAGGACCCAGACGCAGAGGTCCCACCCCTAGAACTTATGCCATAGTTTGAATGAATACCTTTGTGATGGTTCTTCTAATCCTCAGTTTTTTAATTCTATAGTGACTGAAATTATGTCAATTAGAAATGAGTTCACGGCAGCAAGCATCTCTTTTCAAAATATAAATGCTTCTAGAAGGCTAGTTATCAGTTATTCAGTGAGAATTAGCTAATGAATTTATTTTATTCTAAAAGTTTGACTAAGAATATCAGTAGTGAGGGCCACAGTGGGAAACAGGAAAGCTTGACTAGTGGTATGGAAGTTTCAAAGAAGCAGATTTATGCTTGACTTAAGGAAAACCTTCTAACTATTAGAGCTACCCAAGAATGGAAATGAATGCCCTTGAATAGGCTGGTTGACCACTTGGATATGTTATAGTGAGAATTCTTTTTCTGGTATGGGTTGGACTAGGTAGATGTCTGCTGATATCCCTTCCAGTGCTTAAATTCTGTAGGTTGGGGAGAGGTAGGAGAGTTTCAACGACAAACTTTGTCTACCTTCATATTTTGCAGATAACCAGGAAAAGGAGGAGAAAACTTATCTATTTCTTCCCAGGTCCTGGAACTCAGATTGGCCATATTAGGACTATAGATTAGCCATGTTATTAAATAGACTTTTGTGGGCTGGCTTAGGAACTTAACCACAATGTAGGGAATTGTTTCTCTTGGAAAATATTCCAAGTTAGAAATGACCAATTTAGAAATGAACTCTCAGAACATGACCCGTTTCTAATTTGGGTACTACCTGTACCTGTCAGTGTTTTATAGCAAAAAAATAAGTCCCACTGATTGACCTAATGCTAGTCTAAGTAGAGAAAGAGTTTGCTGAAGAAAATAAGTAGCATATCATCATGTAATTATAAAGTTAACTGACCGAAGAGCATAGCTGTGTTTACAATAGTGCAGGTGATAATTTAGCTTAAAACAAATTAGTTTTTAACTTGGAATCTACATCAACAAACAGCTACTAAGTGGATGAGAGAAAAGGATCAAGTTTGAGGACTTGATACTAAATAATTCATCATCTTTTGTGGCTTTCAGAGATGTGGATGTTTCCCCGAAAATCAGTCCTGAAGATTTTTTTCTTTTAATTATTCCACTTCAAGTTACCAACAGCAATGTGTGTTAAAAACAGTAGTGTTGACAGTAGTGTTAAAAACTTTTAATAGTAACAATTTATTAAGTAGTAATATAAAGTTTGGTACTAAAGAAAGAAAATGCTATGTGGTAAAACCCCCAAGAGATTTCATTTACAGTAAATTGACCTTCATAACTCTTCTAAAAATTTGGTATTAGCAGATTGGTCCTTGAAAAAAAAAGTTAAGAATTTAAAAAATTTACTATATGATGATAACATATTGTTTTTTTGTGGTTTTTTTTTAATCTTATCTCTGAGCTCCATAATGCAAGATGTTACAGCTGTCTGTTCTCCTTTTGGAGACGTTATGCCATGACACTTAGCTTCTCTGTGGCTAGTTCAGCTGGATAGACTGAATATGGTAATGAAGCCAAGGTTTGGGGACTAGTCCTTATGGGGGTGAGTTAGCTTTGTTCTCTTTTGTGATCATAGATGGTTCCTCCAAACTAGCTTGGTCACAAGGGGAACCATACGGAAGAGTGTGGATAGGTGATTAATGTATATTAATCAACACTACTGGATAAACAGGTTGAACACATTCTCTGGCTAGTACAGTAGATCTTTACTTGCATTTCTTCATAGCAATAGATAGCAAGTTTCAAAAGGTGCCATCAGACACAACTGTTAGTCTGAATTATTGCTTAGCAAAACTTGGCTCTCCTTATAATTTAATCACTTTGTTCTTCAAGTTAGCGACTGATACTTTTCCAGGATTTATAGTAAAATGATAAAGACCATACACTTTAGTATGTTAATAATCTGTGTATTATTTATCTCATTATAGGTGTGGACACTGCCAGCGGCTTCAGCCAACTTGGAATGACCTGGGAGATAAATATAATAGCATGGAAGATGCGAAGGTCTATGTTGCAAAGGTGGATTGCACAGCAGATAGTGAAGTGTGCTCTGCACAGGGTGTTAGAGGATACCCTACGTGAGTAGAAGAGGATGTGTGTTTGTGACATTTTTCAAGTTTTTCCACACCCCTCTGCCAACTAGATGAAGCTAAATTCTAAGTTAATCTTTCGGTGATTTCCTTTGTAGTTTTGTAGTTAGTAGGTGCTAAATTTAAGCAGGCATTCCACATTGCCAGAGAAAAGTTGTTTTTATTGCATCTATTTTAAGTATATTTTTTGCAATTTATTTAAGAAAATGCTTCATTAAATAACCATTGAATTTTTCTTTTGATGGAACATCTTTGAGGCATGAGAAAGGTTAGCGTTTTAAGTTCACAAGCGTACTTTCCCTCATACAGCAACTTTTCCAGTCACAGAATCAGAGATGTAGATCTGGAAGGGTACCTTTGAAGCTGGAAAAGGTTAAGTGACTTGTCCAGGGCTATGCAGCAATTTATGTTAAAGTCTTTGTGTGTGCTCACCATGCAGAGAAACAGTATGTTATGGAATTACGCCTTCCATTAAAGGCAGGGGTTCTTAACCTTTTTTTGTCATGGATTCTTCTGGCAGTCTGGTGAAACCTATGGACTCCTCAGAATAACATTTTAAATATAGAATATAAAATACATAGGAATACAAAGGAAGCCAAATATTCAAATACAGTGATAAAAGTATTTTTAAAAAACAAGTTCACGGATGTAGGAAAATAGGTCCATGAATATACTATTGGCAAAGTTGTGAACTAGTCCAGCCTCTCTGGAAAGCAATTTGGAACTCTGCCCCAAAAGCTATAAAAGTGTGCATTGCCTGTGACCCAGTGATGCCACTACTAGATCTATACTTCCAAAAAGATCAAAGAAAAAGTACACCAAAATATTTATAGCAGCTCTTTTTCTGGTGGCAAAGAATTGGAAACTGAGAAGATGTCCATCATTTGGGTAATGTCCATCAGTGGAGATTATAGTATCTGAGGGTGCCATAAGAAATGATGAAAAAGGGGATGATTGCAGAAAACCTGGAAAAGACTTACATGAACTGATACAAAGTGAAGTAAGCAGAACCAGGAGTACAATTTACATGGTAACAGCAATATTGTAAAGATAATTAATTACAAAAGACTTAGTAACTTCAGTCAACACAATGACCCACTACAGTTCTAAAGGACTCATGAGGGAGGATGCTATCCATCCCTATATAGAGAACTAATGAACTGAGTGCAGATTAAAGCATTTTTTTGGTCCTCTTTCTTGCTTTTTCCTTTTTTTTTCTCTTTCTTTCCTTTTTTTGGGGGCGGGGGAATAGGGACAGGGCATATGAAAATTTGTCTTACATGACTTCATATTCGTAATAGGTTTTGTATTTCTTGCCTTCTCAATGGGTTGGGAAAAGGGGGAGGAAGAATCTGGAACTGAAAATAAAATAAAATTTAATGGATTAAAAAAAAAAAAGTTCATAGACTCCAGGTTCAGAACTTTTACTTTAGAGAGTACGGGACACTGTCATCTGGTTGGCTGGTAAAGTAGATAGACTGTTGGACTAGAATTAGAAAGATTTGAATTTGAATCAGGGTTTAAACAGCAGTCATGTGAACCTGGACAAGTCACTTAGTCTCTCTCTGCTTCAGTTTCCTCATCTGTAAAATGAGGGGGCTGGACTTGATTCCAGGTCCCTTCTAGCTCTAAATCTGTGATCCTCTAATATTACCAGAGAGCCATTGACTAATTGAGAAATAGAGACAGTTGTTCATTGGGGATTAGATTAAGACCAGAGCTTCCACATTTGGCGTTTTAATTGTAGTCTCTCGGATCTAAAAGTCTCTTATGAATTACCTGCTAGTATGAGTACTGTAATACCAGGTAAATGTAGTGAGTGCAGTGGTGGCAAATTGGCTTTTCTAAGCTGCTTTAACTTATCATAAGATTGGAGAAAAGCATGGAGAGAAGCAAATGGCACACAGTTTGGTAAGATTTATACATGTGCTAACTTTTATTTTAGAAATTGCTTTTTACAAAACAGGTTAAGGTATCAGCTTTCCTCTGACCACGAAATGGACAGAAAGATACTAGCATTTATTCTTACAATACGCCAATAATCTAATCCTTCATACCACCATCATCTTTTCACTTAAATTCCACATAAATATTAAGTTAATTGCCTACTTGGACTAATGTATTCATATTCCTTCAAACTCTTTTTAGCTTTGTTTTGAGACTAATAGATGGTAAGCATTTTAAACTAGGAATTCTGATTTCTGTACATATTGGTCTCTTAAAATTCCCATATTGCACAGATGGCATTTAATATGACATGACAGCCAATTATAACTTGTTTTCTAGTTTTTAAAAATTGAACACATTCTAGACAGTATTTTTTTTAATCCAGTAATCTCTTGTCTTCACCACTGTCAACTTGTCTTAATGAGTTTTATTTAGAATGCATTCCTTTCCCACCCCACAAAATAGTAGCATGGTTGTAATCACCAACTGTCCCTGAAGTTATATTAGTTTAGTCTCATGGTCTCAAATCTGTCGCTTATTACTACAGGAACTGTCCCTCTAATTCAACTGAAATCCATTTAGGAGCAAATGCATCTGGTAGAGATGAGATTTCTTGTCTGTGGGAAAGGAGGCTGCAGAATGCAAGGAAGCAAATCTCTTAGATGAGCTGTAGTGTTGGGGTTGTCTTTTAGTGAGACAACACAAACAATTAAGTGAGCAATTTTGCTGCTAAAGGCAACTTCATTACAAGTATTCAAGATTTATGCTTTGGAACATTTTAGGTAAATCTCCAATCTCAAGGTAAGTATTTAGAAAATGAATTAATCATTGATGCATCTGCTGATGACTTCTGCTAGTGAAACAGTAGATAATTGACCTGTTGTGAACAGTCATTAATGTTTTTAGATCAATTTTGAAAATCCTATCAAAACCGAGAAAGTCGAACTTTTCAGTTTCACAGTTTTGAACAGTAAACTTTGAAACATTCTGCCAGTTGAAAATTGGCACCTTAGACTTTAGATCCACTTAAAAGTTCAGCCTTCTTATTTTTGTTTGGGATGCTTGCATGAGATATGGGTTATGTCTTTAAAAATTAGAATTGTATAAATAAATAAAAAATTTCCTTAGCTATCCAATTTTTTGTTTCCTTTAAAACTTTATTAGAAATCTGGTATCAGAGTTTATTTGTAAATCATTTAATTTAAATAATCAGAAAACATACTTGGTCCTCAGGAAGAAAATGTAATATCTTGAAGTGATTTGAAGTTATTTTTGAAAATATACACATACATAACATTTATTTATCTATTCCTTTTTTTTTAAACTTTCAGCTTAAAGTTTTTCAAACCAGGTCAAGAAGCTGTGAAATACCAGGGTCCCAGGGATTTCCAGACTTTGGAAAATTGGATGCTTCAGACACTAAATGAAGAGCCTGCTGTAAGTGTATAAGAAATTTTTCTTTCCTTATTGATCAAATTAATAACATTCCTATATAAGGAGTTATCTTTTGTTTTCCAGTAGGAAAAAAATTTTATTAAATTATTTTCCTGAGTAGTAATGAAACTGGCCAGCAAATTTACATGGATAGTTATCTCAGGATCATAAATTTAAAGTGGGAAGGAACCTTAGCAGTCATCTAATTTAAAGCCCCCTCTCCCTTTTTTAAAGATTAGGAAACTGATCCTCAGCACTGTTAATTGACTAGCCCAAGCTCACACAGGTAAGTAGCAGAGAAGAATTCTGAATCTAGATTCTGTGATTTCAACTCCAGTACAATTTCTACTGTACGATACCACTTCTCAATGTATAAGCTATCTTCTTCATTTAAAAGTCACTGATCTTGTAAGCAAATCCTATTATAAGATGTTGTAACCTAACATTGCTAGCTCTTGGCAAAAATTGAATTCCATGAAGACTTCTGAGTCTCTCTGCTATGCAGCGTGAAAAACTATTGTCATAGAAACCTCAAGCCAGGACTGCTTTATGGGATTAATATTTTCTCCCATTTTTTCTCTTTCTCCTTCCCAACCCATAGTCTTCTTTGTTGATAAGCTAACCCAACCTAATCTCTTATTACTTGGGTAGCTCTTCCCTACCACACCCTGTGCTAAGCCTTTCATAATCTGATTATTACAAGAACTCATACAACGGTAGAGCTAGAAGAGACTTGAGAAACTATCTTTTCCTGTCCCTTCATTTTACAGATGAGGAAATTAAGGCTCGGAATTCATAAAAATCATAGACTTTTAGAGCTAGGAGGGTCACAAAGAAGTCATCCACTCCAATTCGTATTTGAAATATGAATTCCTTCTTCAACATACAGTAATTACTCTTTATACAGAATCAAATCCCTGTAATTTTCCCTAAAATGTAACAATTAAGTTATGGCACATGCATACAGAAAAATACACTGAGTGTAATTTGAAAAATCTACGTGGTCCTCCCACCCCTGCTTTTTTTGCATTAATGTGCTGAGTTATAAATTCATTATCATTAACAAGCCCCTACTAAGTGCATTGCCATTTGGTATGTGTTGCTCTCTTTGGGCATTGTATAGAATAAGACCCACATGAAGCTAAGTAAACAAGTTTCCTTTTGGTTATTTTGGTGAGATATTAGGAAAATAATCTATGTTTATACTAAACATCGCTATAGAATGACACTATCAGGACTCAGACTAAAAGTTGAATTTAAACAAACCTGAGTACTTTTTTTTGCCAGATAACTTTCAACTGTATGACTTACTTACTATTTGGTAGGTGTTCAGTTTTCTCCTGGAGGCCCTGTAATTTGATGTATTCCATATGAAGCCTCCAATAAAATGAAAATCTTTGGTGTGGCACTCAATTCACTGTAGGAATTGTACTCATCAAGAGATTCATTGGGCACCATATGTAATACACACAGATGTGATGAAAGTAATTCCTTCAGATGCTGTGTGGCAGAGAACAGATATGACTTATCAAACTTACCCAATTTTAGACTATATTTAAACAAAACACCTTAACTACGGGTGAGTAACTTTGTGTCTTTCTCAATTTCTTAGTGGTAGCCAGATTTTGATATTGTTAAGTGTAACTTTCACATAGCTTTAAACTTTGAATTATGTACTTTATGAAAAATATCCTTGTTCTTCTTGAAAGAAACTTATTTTGAAGTGAAGTTTAAATCTTTATAATAAACATTTATAGCATTAGAGTGAGACTGATAAGCCTAAAAGACAGTCAGTCTTTAGCTGAAGGTACCTGAGAAACCAGAAGCCATTATTAGCTTCTTTAAAAAAAAAAAAACACCTCTGTTCTTATATTGTCCAAAGTTGAGGATTTGGGGACAATTCATAGAAATATTCAACATAAAACTCTTAAGTCATGCTTTTTTTTCTTTTTCCTGTTCTCAATAATGCCTGACTTCTTTTTAGGTTCAGGTATTATATCTCATTTAATATACAAGTTGAAGCACTTATCAATTTGATAAAGTCTCTTTTAAAAATGAAGTGTGTTGTTGTTGTTGTTTTGTCATCATTATCCTGAAGTAGTATAATTCATGATGATGTACATTGTGACCATGAAAGTTTCTTGACTGTTATAGTGTGACAATGGCTACTCTCCTCTTTGTCAAAGGGCACAAATACTAAGCCTCCAAATGGGATTTTAAAAATCTGTAGTCCTCTGGATTTTGTATTGTGAATAGCCTATGTAGCATGGGACATCACTTGATTGTAATTGAACCTGGCGTTTGAGCATTACTTTCCTAGGGATGCTTTTGTGTGCCTGTAGCACTTGGAATGGCATGAAAAACTAGCACATTTTGAATTATCTAATAAGTTTTTAAAAAAAGATTAAATGGTAATATATGTGAAGTTCTTTGTAGTCATAAATAAACTATAAATAAGAACTATCCACAGTCATCGGTGTAGAAACCTATATTTGCCATAGGATGACATTTGAGAATGGACCTTCTGTGATGATTTAGTTACTGAAGCATCCAAAGGAGCTCATAAGGTGGACAAATGACATGAATTGCAAGGCTGGCATAAATAGCAAGTTACCAGTACAAGGTAGTTAAGATCTCCAGATAGATTGCACCTACAAGATTTCATTGCCTTTACTATTTATTATGTGGGCAACTCTTAGCAATTACTTTGTTGCTACTTAATAGACACCAGAGCCTGAACCAGAATTGCCAACAGCCCCAGAACTCAAGCAGGGACTATATGAGCTGTCGGCAGCCAACTTCAAACTACATGTGGCAGAAGGTAATATGTGCATGTGTTCTCTTCAGATTTGTGGGCATCCGGGACGTGATGAGTGCTGAGTAGAATGTATGGTGAAATTTGTCCCTTTGTGTTTGCTTTGGGTTTCCTTCTTGTCTAGTAGAGTCTTTGACTTCCCATGGTACTCAGTCGTCAGTAGGTTGTGATATATTTTAAGTGGAGAGAGTTCTCACATTAGGAGTTCTCTACAATGTGAAATCATAGATCTTTCTGTTAACATGAATACAAGTATGATAAAGGGTCTGGACAGGGGCGAATGGACAGTACTGCCTATCAGAGGTGAGATATCATGAGTTCCTCTGCTCAGTTTACCCTTTGGAGCAGTTCTGAAAGGTACAGATGCTACCCTCCTTCTCCCCCTCTGCCCCCCATCTCTCACTCCTTCCCTTTAAGCTCTCTGTCTGTAATTTCTCTGCACATATGATGATGCAGGGAAGACGGTGTTAGCCAAGAACATGCTTAATCTGTGTTCTTCGTAATCCATCCTTACATAACCAAGAAATGAACAAATTATCTTTAATCACATTTAGTTGGAAGCAGATAATACTTTGCTGACCTGTGGCAAAAATGTAACTTTTTATTCTTTTGTTTAGACACAAGTTTTTATATGTTATGTGAAGTTTATATAAGTGAAATCTTTTATCTTTGCATATGTATATGTGTATATGTGCACACACACATTTTACCAAAATATTAGTGTTTTTATTATACAAGTATCTTTTGCCTTATGGAATAGATGTGTTTTGGCAAAGGTGGCTGCAAGTTTTTCCAAAATAAACCCCATTTTCCCCATAAACCATGATGAAGTAAAATGTTATCCTGGTGACAAAAATCCTCATGAAGATGTAATTGAAAATTTTTGATGACAAAAGGCTAAAATTGTAATCCCCAGTTAAAATTAATTAGCCCTCAGTCTGATGTTTGTTAAATATTATGGAATGTTCAACTTCTATACAGTTGGGTATAAAAGGTTATTAAATCTGCAATGTCAGTTTAAATAATGAATAGAAAAAGACACACAGCAGCTTTTCTCTCCACCCCCCCCCCCCAATTGCTCCTCAACATGGGGGATTTGAGTATAAGGTTAGAATTTTATGGGTCCTATCCAGTGGAATTTTTATTATTGTAACATCAAAAAGAGCTCATTATTACCTGATACATTGTGTGTGAAAAATGTCTTATAACCATGATGTTTTATATAATTTAGTAGCTTATTATTTTTTAACAATCTTATTGTAAAGGTGGTCTACGTCATCATTCAAGGAGAGTGTTACTAACAAAGAGATTCTCAGGTGTTTGAATGTACTAGGTTTTGTGTTAGTGCAGACTGCTTTAAAATGCCTTGATATTTATTGTGGCTAGTGATTTCTCAGTAAAGATCTTATTAATTTTATAGACAACCTTTTTCTGTTTGCTTTTATGATTTTATACATCATCATTAGTATAAAATAGAGGTCACTGAATTCGTATGCCAGGATGAACTGTCTGGATAAACTTTGCAGTGTCAGCCTTAAGGATGAATGATAGATGCACCTTTATTAAAAGCATTGTGTTTCCCAGCTTCTTCCTAAACTCATTGATAATCTTATAATGACATCTCACTCAGCAAGTATTAGAATAGAGCATTTCTATACCAGGACTAAGAATCATATTTTAAACTTTTAATAGTTTTTTTTTTTTGCTCATAACCTAACATCCTTTTAAGAGCAAGCCTGACAGTTTAATTCTTGGATTGATGAACTCAGCAGAATCTAGATTACAATGTTCCATTTTAAAAACTACTTATGAGTTTGTTTATATTTTTCTGGCTGAAGGAGTGATAGTCAATTTACATATTCTGTCTTCTGTTATTGAATTACAGTAAACTTAGAGGTTTGTTAAATATCAGGATGATCTTTAGCTTTAAATTTGTAATTACATAAATTAAAGGTTAAAATTGCTCCCTTTCCCCCTACTCCTGCCTAATTTCTTGACATTCTGTTAAAGGCAACCACTTTATCAAATTCTTTGCCCCATGGTGTGGCCATTGTAAGGCTTTGGCTCCAACCTGGGAACAGCTGGCTTCAAGTCTTGAACATTCAGAAGCTGTCAGGATTGGCAAGGTAGGTGAAAACTCTTCTTAAACTGAAAATATCCCTCTTTTGGCAGGATTAATTAAGCAAAGTAGCATATTATTCATTTTATGTATGGCTAGTCACTGACTTGATTTATTTATGCCATGTAGTGTGTGTCACCTGATAATTCACAGTAATAGATAATGAAGTGTTGGTGACTTACAGATTTTTTTCACAATGTACAGATAAATTATAGCTATGGCTGCTTTGTTTAATGGGAAGACATGGACAATTCTGAATGGGAGAGACCTAATTACCCTTTCTAAAGAGACATAGCAGAGACGGCTATAATACTCCTTTGATGGACTTGGATACTTGCCACATTTGATCTCATCCAATACATGAAGTTTAATAATTGGTTTAAGAACTTGATGGGAGTTGAGAAGAACCTTCTGAATTATGAACCCTGTATTTTCTCTTGTTCAACTTTACATTGAGAAGTAAGAAGGGGTATACAGCTTCTGGAAAATCTTGGGCTCCAAAGGAACTTGAGGGTAGTTAAATGATTTTTATCCACTTGAGTTTTCTGTTTACATTTTCATGTGAATTTTATTTTTATTTTAAAATTGATTCCATATTTTTTTTTACCACTATTTAAAAGCATAATTAGTCAGCTGTGGAGATTGATTTGTATGCACGAGTAACACTGACTTCTGCAGAGCAAATTACCCATTTGATTTGCTGACCCATTTTCATTTACTGAGAGCTAACTGGATTTTTTTTTCCCTTTGACATTTATAAGTCTAAAATACATTGAAACTTATTTTTAGTTTAGCCCTTTAAATGCCTTGCTGTGGATTATAAAGTGCAAATATTAATGACATTTGTGAAGATGTAAGACATTAATTAAAAAAAAAAAACTCTTTGTACCATGTTCTTTCTACCCCCAGAATCCATATTTATAAAAATGAACTAAACCTCTTTGTTGGTAAAGAACTTCTTTGCTCTGTAGGTGAAAACTGTCTTTTATCATTGATAAATAGACTTAAAAACAACCAAAGATGAGATTTTAAACTTATCTAATATATCTAATCAGTGATATTTAATGTAGGCATTTATTTGAAAGAGTCTTTTCCTTATTTCAAAACACTATGTTCATGCTGCATATTACAAATTAATTGATGTCATGTTTATTGTGTGTAATAGGGGCCTTTGTGAGCTTGATTTTCTTTATTAAAGATATTTTACATTTAATTCTTTGCCTGCCTAATACAGTCTAAAATCAACTTTATCCCATTTACTCAGTATTTGTGATTGCATATCATGAGAAGTAGAATGTTACTTTGGACAAAATAATGAAAGACTTAAAATGACATGCAAGTATAATCTTCATAACATTGAGTGAAGCCTTTAGTTCATGGAGTGTGTCGTTTCTGTTCTCAAATATTTGGGTCTCATATGTAACCTTGATAAGTGACTGGAAAATACTATATGACATCTGTAACTGTATCATGGATGAATTAAACTAATAGAATTAAAAGGACTCTATAATATTCTAGAAAAGAGTCCTCTCAAAAGTAGAATTTGAATTTTGAGAAATCATTCAGCATTTTACTTTCAGGTACCTAATGTGCAGCATTCTATTTAGTGATAAAGCTAATGCTGGACTTCAATTTTCATTTTAGGTTGACTGTACACAGCATTATGAACTCTGCTCTGGAAATCAAGTACGTGGCTATCCCACGCTTCTGTGGTTTAGGAACGGTGAAAAGGTGAGACTTCACCATGTTAAAGTTCAGATTCTGATTTCAACTGGGCGTGAGTGTTATAAGGGGCCAAAGAATTGCAAGAAAGCAACCTTAGTTTGGACACAGGGTTGAAAGACTATGCATGTTGGACAAATGGAAAAAATGAAAAATTATTTCCAGTACATGAGAAGTAAAGCTTTCCCATTCAAATGTCAGTTCTAGTAGTATTTTGAAATATTTAAAGTAGTTTGGTCTCTAATGCAGTTACATAGTAACTGTGCTGTAATCATACATACACATCTGACCACACTTGGTGATTTAGGTTATAGTAAGGTCCTTCTAGCTCTAACGTCCACAATTTGTCTCTGGCTTATCTTTAAATTACCTTGAAATATATACCCATCAACTTGAAGGGATTTGACAAGATTTTATCGATTTTATGACTTGCATAAAAAGAAAGAAGGAAAGGAAAAAGGAAAAGAAGAAGCTGAAAGAAAAAAAGGAAAGAAAAAATTATTGAAGTCTAAAAGCACAGCCAAAATATCAAACTCCTGATTACATACTTTACATTTTTATTTTTGAAAATGCAATAGATTTTATTACTAAGAGTGAGCCTTCAATTGAACTGTTAAGACTTAATTATTTAAATCCTCTAAGACTTGATTATTTATATTAAATTGACTCAAATTTGTCATTGTATGTAGATTGACCAGTACAAAGGAAAGAGGGATTTGGATTCTCTAAAAGAATATGTGGAGTTGCAGCTACGGAGTGTTGTAGGGGAAGCCTCAGAAACTATCGAGGCTGCTGAGGCCCCAGAACTCACTGCAGAACCTGAGGTAGGTGCTATGGAATAATGCATGGGAAACTCTGTTCTGCCCTTATACAGCACTTCCCCTCAGCCTTTTGGAAAAAAATTATTTAGTGATCTGGAAAGAATAAATATGATTGTCAGTTATACTAAAATTAAACACCAATAACTTTGTTCAACTGACTGTATGTGTTTGAGTGGGATATGTATCATTTAAAAGCCCTTGTTTTAAAAACTTGGAAAGTCATGGAGGAAAAAAATATTGAGAGGATTATCCATTTATATGTACTAGATTTAAGGGATAAATGTATTTTCTTTTCTTTTTTTTATTTTTTTTTGGCAGTTGGGGTTAAGTGACATGCCCAGGGTCACACAGGTAGTAAGGGTCAAGTGTTTGTTCTGAGGCCGGATTTGAATTCAGGTCCTCCTGACTTCAGGGCCGGTACTCTATCCACTGTGCCACCTAGCTGCCCTAATAAATGTATTTTCAAGGTATTTGTAATCCTGGGCTAATTTCCATCACTCAGTCTCACTTAGAGTAGCAGTATTCTTTACCTCTTTGGAGATGATATGTGAAATAAATTTCCATCTGAACATTTGTTAGCAGCAAGATAAAATGCAGTAGGATTTAATGGTATCTCCATTCTCTCCAGTTTTAAAGAGTTCTCACCTGGCTTGTAGTCTATAAATTTGCAGGTTGGACACATTTTCCCATCAAAATAGTGCAGAATAAAAGAATAATAAAAACAAAAGATTTATATAGCCAGTACTAGGCACCTTACACAAATATTTACAAGTAAATCCTCTTTAGCTCATAAAATTCTTGACGTATTTAGTAATACTGTTTCCATTATACCTAACCACTATTTTAGTATCATTTCTATGATACAATGTATTTCAATTTTCAGTTGTGTCTTCCCCAACAAGGAGAACAGGGAGACTCTCTTTGTTGAAGGGAAGGGTAGGAGATAATCCTAGGTACCAACAACTTTAAATCTCCATATTTGCATAAGGTAAAAGTACCTGCCTAGGTCAATTAGATCTGGGTTCTAAATTAAGAAACAGAGGACAGTTTACCCCCAGGCTTCCTTACTGCCTCATAAATCAAGGGTTCATAAGCAGAGGACTGCCTGTGTATTAGTTTAAAATTGCCATCTTGGTTTGAGAAATAAACAGATGATCTTGCAGTTGTGACCACATATATTAGAAGAGTGTATGTGTCATGTTGGCTATGAAAAGTCATCCTAAACTGTGTATAATTATATACTATTAATATTTTCACTAAATACAGAACCCTTTATTTAGAAAGTTTTCCACACGTTTAAGTGGGTTGTGGTCGTTCAGTGAGTGACCTAATATTTATGGACTTTAAAAAATATGGTGGTGTTTCACATTGGTTCCAACTTGGCGGCTCTTTATTTCAGAATCTTTTCAGTTTTCCACAAAGCTTCTGCTTTAGCTACCAACATTAATACAGAAATATGTTGCTCATTGCCACACTCAAACAGAACAGCCTACTACATTTTAGCTTGAATCCACGTGGTATGCTATCCCCTTTGCCCTCCTGGGGGAAACTGAAGACCTGTTTTAGAAAGCATATCGAACTAATCCTTGATACAAGACTTATCTGGAGAGGGTCGCTGTAAAATAGACTCACTTGTAGGCACTTTTACTTAGATGCTGTAGCCAAAGCTTAAAATAACTAGTATATTTTTATGAAGGCAATTTGCCGTTAGATACAGTTTGTTTTTGAGTGTTTTGGTTCACATCTCCTGTGGTTATGTCCCTCAAAATATGCGAGTTTTTCTTAAAGAAAGAGTATCATTTCTCAGATTGAGTTCTTGTGAATTCAGAAGTGAAAAGAAGCCTGTTTTCTCCTTAGCCAGTATACTGTGTATAGAGGAATTGTGCTTTATGTGGTGAAAAGGAAGGCACATGGATGCTCTCAGAGCCATTGAGAAAGGAGAGAGGTAACCTGAGCTTAAGGAAGAAAAAGGCATCCTGTGAAATGTAAAAGAGTAGCTTCTGCTACTAACTGAAAAGATGACAATGATAATGATAACAATACTTGTATTATGCCTTAAAATTTGCCAGCCTCTTTGCAATCATCTTACTTCAGAACCTCATGATAACTCCAAAGATGCTTTCAACTTTTTGGCAAGGCATTCTGTCTTCTATATTTTCCTGTCAAGAGCTCAAATCTTTGTTCATTTGAAAGACAACTTGCATCAGATTAGAAAACCCCTCAGGTTCTTTATTACTCCAGAACCAGCCCGGTTTCACTTGGTGCCAGGCACAGGAGAACATCTTTGTGCCTGTTTTCCTTCTAGTGTTTGTCAGGCTGTTGGGGCAACTCTTTAGAACAGTCTAGGCATGCTGTGTAGAAGCCAGTTCCTTCCTCAGCATCTCTTGTTCCTGAATCCTGCATGAACTGTAGTAGTTTCTCATTCAAGAATTCCTACCCTAAGGATGCTGCTGAACTTTTTTTTACTCACTGTGTGTTTGGTGTGAGATGTATGCTATGGGTACCTATATTTTTATATCATCCAAGGAGTAAGAATGGCAGCATATTGTATGAATCATCCTGTTTATGTTTTTAAAAGTCATTTAATAACTGCCATATTCTAAAAAAGGATTTTTGCTTTGCATGGTTTCCTTTGATAGAGTGCTGTGCTTTCTCTCTCCGAAAAGGATTTTGATGACACAATTGCTGAAGGAATAACTTTTGTCAAGTTTTATGCTCCATGGTAAGCAACTGTAAATGTATTTCATTAGGAATTAAGTACTAGAATACTTGAACTTATTTTTCAAATCATTTATCAGAACTTTAGACTCATATAGGTAAATTTTGTCCCATGTGTTGCACAGTTTATAGGGAGCTGTGATCTTGATGTGCTTAGGATCTGCTCATGCTACTGCAAATAAGGGAATGTTTATAATCTTATCCATCTGATATGTTTAAGGGGGCAGATAGCTGATAGAGAAAACAGCAAAAGTGGGAGAAGGGAGAAGGAAAGGAGGGTACTTCTTATGTAACTGAGTACTTTTTGTGTTCATACATCTAGCTTTGAGATGCAGCTTGATGTAATACATAGAACTAGCCTCAGAGGCAGGAAGACCTGACTTCAAGTACCACCTCTGGTATTTGTTAGCTGTGTGACCCTGGACAAATCTCTTAACCTGTCAGTGCCCCCAGACAAATCTCTAAGACTGTAAGTTGCAGAGCAGTTTGCTGATCTGTGTTGGTGGAATTTCCTTACCAGAAGTTACCTATACTAATGAAATAACAAAGCCAAACCAAAAAAAAAAAAATTTGGTTAAAAAATCATAGTGTTATCAAGTACAATGTCCAGCTTTAGGACGTGCTCAGTTAGATAATTTTGATTGACAAAATAAAAATCATCACAGGATGTAATCTTGATTGAATTAAGTTCATCTTTGCAATTCCTGTGTTGATAATTTCTTCAAGTTCTTGGGAGACTTTTTAAAAAAAATTTATTTTTGGTAAGGGGGAGAGTTAGGGAAGAGCGAGGGGAAGGAAATAATGTGAAAAGTACAGGTGTAGACTTAGGGAGAATTTAAAGAGTTACAATTTTCTCAGCCTAATTTGATAACACTATACAAAAGGAATGAGTTGGATAGGCTGCAAAATGAATTGTGAGTGACTCTTGAATCCAGAGTGTTTAAAATAGATATTTATTCTATTCCTAGGTGTGGTCACTGTAAGAATCTGGCTCCCACATGGGAAAGCCTTTCCAAAAAGGAATTCCCTGGCTTGACAGGAGTCAAGATAGCAAAAGTAGATTGTACTGTTGAACGAGCTATTTGCAGCAAATATTCGGTAAGTGTAAGTAGTTTAAAGCTTTTCAGATAAATCTAGACATTGATGTCTTGAAATTTGAAGAAAGCCATCCTCAGTTTACTCACTTCCCTTCTTAAAGTAGGAAATTCTGGGCCCAGCATACCGTAGATACACTATTTCTCTTTGTCTAATGTTGTTGAAGAAAATTTTCCCTTTTTTCTGAGTTTTTTTTCCTCTTAGGAGATTTCTCCTAAAAATCAAAAGAAGGTGTTTAAAAAAAAAAAAGCCATTGCCTATAGCTTTGCCTCCATTTAAAAAAAGGGAGGAAGTTTCTTGATGTGTGGTTTTTTTTTATAGTTTTAAGAAGAATGTGTCTAAGAATTGTCAGTGGAGTCCTAGATTATTTTAGTTGTTAGCAACAGTGTGAGAGATGTTAGATTGTGGTGCCACCTATGGGACTATATTGTATGTTTCATCAGTTCCTTGCTTTTTTTTCTGCTAGATTTTATCAAGGTTATAGCTTTGATTAGTTCTCAGATCATTCACAATTTATAGTAGGTATCTTTAGGTAAATGAATGCTTACTTGTACAAAATCATGCCACTTTGATAGCTTATTGTTAAAGACTGTTACCAGCTAATAAGATGACAAGTCCATCAATAAATCTAAGTCCAATGTAAGGGATTCTTTATTTAACTGTGGACCTCTGGCTTATGAAGGACTGTTATCCAATTAGGGAGAAGAAAAGACTTAGAGTGAACATGACATTTGTCTTCAATTTCTTTGAAGGGCTATCAGTGATTAAGCTTGTTCTGCTTGGCCCCAAAGGACAAAACGAGGACCACTGAGTAGGAGTTGTAGAAAGGCAGATTTCCATTTGATGTAGGGAGAAACAGAGCTATCCAACAGAAGAATGGGTTGTCTGGGAAGGTAATGGGCTCTCCCCACTGAAAAAGCTGGATGGCCACTTTGTTGAATGTGTTGTGGAGTGGGATCTTGATCAGGGATGTGTTGAGCTTGGTGGCCCCTGGGGTCCCTTCCAAATCTGAGATTATTAGGATATCCAGTATTAGGATATCCAATCATATGTGTCTTTAGATTGCAAATAAAAGTTTCATAATTAAAATTTCTCCATTTTTTGATTGATGGACATTAGCAGAAAACTGTACAACAGAAGTCATTAACTAAAGAGTAAGTGATGGGTTGTAGACATAAAATTGTATCCTTTAGGATGAGTTATTGTCTTCTTTTTAATGGTCTTTTAAATTCAATAGTGAGTAAACATTTCCACCCCTCTGCTTTTTTTAAGATGTCTGGTAAGATTTGCTTTATTTTAAAAATTAAAGAACTTCTTTAGATTTTGACCACAATGATGTTCAAGTCCAAGAAGACTCATCTTATTTGGATCTAATTAGCTAGTTTAAGAAATGATTTGTGTATGATTGAAAATACTCATTTTAAAATGTGCAATTCTGTGTTTTGCATCTTTAAAGGTACGAGGCTACCCAACATTGCTGTTCTTCCGTGCAGGAGAAAAAATCACCGAACACAATGGAGCTAGGGACCTTGAAACATTACACAGCTTTGTTTTGCGACAGGCAAAAGATGAACTGTAGAATCTCACTTGGGAGTAATTTCCCTGACTGTTCTCCTATGTCCAACTTGTAGGAGTTAATCCATGCTAATGTTACTGAGTCTCAAATGGTGGTTATTTGGAAAACTGAATGTACTAAATTTGTGATATCTTCTGTGTGTGCGTGTTTTTTAAGCCAACACACTGTACTGATTCTTTATTAGGTTTGTCTGGGTAAATATCTAACAAATAGTCACTGTGCAAACTGAATATTTTCAGTGGCAGTAGAGCAATAACTGCCCCTTGACCTTCCTTTGATGAAATTCGAATGGCTTCCTTTAAGACATAAGTAGAGGGCAAGAAAATCAAATTAAGTGAATTGGCAGACTATTTTTGGCATTGGGATAATCTTGGTCAAAAGCAGCTTCAATTGCCCACAGTTGCTAGAAAGATAGGAACCTGTAGAACTCCTGTTGCCTTTTAAAGTAAAACTCACCACTTAAGACTTTTGGTAACTTATTTGAAAAAGAGTTTAAAGATCAAACTCCCACTTTTGGAAGATCCTGAAATGCCACCACCATGGGATTCTCATTTCTGTTCCTGTTTCGTCATGGGAAGTTAGCCAAAATGATGGTACTTTTAACCTGTGCCTGAGTAAGATTATGTGATGCCATAATTGTATGTGTGTATGTGTCTCTCTTTCCATGTCAGGTGAATTGTTACTTGAGATTCTCTCGTTTGTTCCTTATGGGGCAAAAATCACACTGCTTCATTTCTCTTTACTTGAAGCTGGAGTATTCTCGAACTTTAAAGTTTGATTATTCTACTCATAGAGAAGTAGGAGAGGTATCAAAGAGCCTTTTAAAAAGTATCTGCAAGCTCTCCTCAAACTTGGAAAAGGGCTATTTTAGGAAACTTTGAAAGTAGCCCTGAGTATATTCTATTAATAAATTTTTTAATTCCTTAGTGAAGATTCAGATTAAACTCTTTACCTGAAAAAAAATAAGAAGTAGGGTGGCCTTTTGTTTGATCATTCAACTAGGTGTGGTTATAAGGACACGAAATACTGCTGCAGTGTTCTAAATGCAGAACCGTAACTAGGATAAACCGACTGGGGCTTTGCCACAGGGCACTGAAATTTAAAGGGCACAACAATTTAACACATCTACTTAAGTTAGATGCTGCTGTAATAATTGCTTCCTCCTGCTCACTTAAATTCATTTAGTTATATGTATTATTTTTCACACTGTGAATTCACAAAGTTGATTTGAGGGGCTCATTTTGTACTCTGTCCTAAACACACATTTTGTGCTCCTTGCCCCATGGGCCAAAAATTGCTAGTTACGGCTCTCACTGTAACCTCTCCAAAAATTTCCTAAAAATATAAGTGATCCCTTAAGAAATTTAATTGGAATATGGATGCTTTGTACTGCCTTGAAAGATGATTCTATGGTGTTCAAGTGTGCTTTTCTCTACCCCTCCCCCAAACCCCTTGTGACCAGAACCAAAGAATGGGTGGGTGGTATGTGTATAAATCATTTTGGAAATAAGCAGCTCCATAGCTAAATTCATTGAAGTGGTTTCTCTTGTGTTATTCATCATGAAATTAATTACATCTTGAGTAGCCACCTTGTTTCTAGTCCCCTTCTAAAAATTCTTCTTCCCCATCATCCTAACTTTCCCCTCATTTCCCACTTTTTCTCTTTCTTTGTTCCAACCCAAGATATCTCATTTAGCACAAGGTAACAGGTGGCAAGAAATCTTACCCATTATAATTATTTATCTACATATACATATGTGTGTGTATATATATGTATATGTATGTGTATATATATACATATGTATACTTTTTTTTTCTAGTACTTTAAAGCAGAGAATTAACTAGACCATCTTACCCATCTCTGCCTAAGGAAGTCTTTATTAAACACACATGGTTGGTTCACAAATGGTTTTTAAAAACTATCTAGAGAAGCACAATCCTCATGAATGGCTGGAGCCTTGCATCATGAGTATCTTGTATTAAAAAAAATCAAAGTCGTACAATTTGTTTACAATGAAACTTTCTAAATAAACTCTTTTTTTTTTAAAAGTCTAGTCTTTCTTTAAATGATACAGCAAAAATGGATATAAAGTAATGGCAATAAATTATAGTTTATATTTACAAAAAACTGTAAGTGCAAATAGTTATAGATCATAAATGTATTGTTTAACCAGTTTAGCATGAAATAGATTTATTACATGGTTGCCCAAAAACAGATTTTTAAAAAATAATCTAAGATTTAATCTGAGCTTGACCACCTCTACCTGAGACTGTGGTTCCTTTTCTTAAACAGTGTAATCACCCAACCCACTTTATGAAGTATGAGGGTACCTTCTGCCCACTTCTGTATAGACTTTCAATTTCACCTTTTAAATTTTTTTTTCTGGGATAATGTATGCTCCAAAATAAGAGGGGGAAAAAAAAACCCAAACCTACTTCACTGACATAGATGGATTGCTAGATTCAGTTTTCTGTCATTTGCTGTAATTTTCAGACAGGAGCTAAGGTGAGGTATAACACTGTTTTCACAAGTTATACAATCCGTCAAGAAGACAACTGTTAAAAGTACATCCCCCCAGTCCAGATTCACCTCAAAGGAAGATGGGCCAAGTGCTTAGTACTTAACATATATAAATTCAGTGTATGCTCAGACCTAAGGGAAAAGATACCTAGTAGGAGGATTGAGGCATGGGAAAAAAAAAGTTTACTTTGACTGAAATAAGTGTATTCTCATACCAGCAAAGCTCCAACACACATGTATAGCAATTATTCTCTAAAACAAGGCACTTCCTGAAGCCCTAGGATATGCCTAGGGGTATTAGTCTAATTTTTTTTTGTCATAAATGAACCCTAAGACCAATGATTTGCCTGTAAAATTTGTCCCCAAGCTTATTTACTTGTAACATTTACCTTCGACAGACTGATATTCATATCCGAGTTACATAGCTAATAATAGCTTTATTTCCCCTAAGTTTTACTCTTCACTCTCAGGCATTAACACCATGAATAGCTTGATCCAAGCTAAACTAATTTTGGCAGACTTTTCTTTGGGAAAATCCTTCAAACACATTTCTGTAGTTAACAAACCCTCCTACCATCTTGTTACCCCCATACTAAGCTTCCTCCAACCAGTGCCTACTCACATTATTTATCCAGTGAGCAATTTATCAATTAAAAAGTCCTTTAATTCTTCTTTTTTTTCCATAAGGCACCAACATGGAATTGTTTGTGACAATTTACTCAAATTCAGCCATGCCTCTGTAGCTTTTCTCACAGCAGATGTCACCTAGGAATCCAGGATGGAATTTCATAGGGTTTTTACCGGGTGAGATTTTGGCTTTCAGGTCAATGACATCCACAAGCTCTCACCACCATATTTCTGTATTTTTTCAAGATGACATTGGAGTTGTCATCAAAGTAAAGCACTGAAATAGCATTTAGCTTGGTAGGTGCACAACATGGTTTAGGAACATAATCAGGATTCATCAGGTGAACCTATTAAAAAAGAAAAGAAAAGTCATAAACTACACTTACTGTCTGACATACTCCAGTTAGAAAATCAAATCTGTGTACTCACTAGAGTCTGTACAATTGCATGGTTTGTTGCATTCATGTGTGCATTGAGAGGGAAGGAACATTCTCCATCACAGTAATTGGCTGCATATCCTTTTGGTGCAATTATCCAATCCTTTAGAACAAAACAATAGCATGGTTTAGGCCTAAACAGTCTACTATAGAAATTAAATTCTAACTGATTAAGGTTCTAATTTTATTTATTTAAAATGACTACTAGATTTCCATCTCTAATGTAAATGTGATCTCTAAAACTCAATCTCCCTTCTGTGACCCTACTGTCCTAGGTTTTTTCTATAAAACTTTTGGTTTTAAATGAGGAATTATAGTTTTCACCCTTTTTTTATCCCAGAAAGTTCCACTAGTCTTCAGGTTTATGACAAAATACCATTTGAAGAGCTCATCCATGCTGTTTGGCTACTTGAGATAGACTGCTTACATCAATAATCTGACATGACACCCCAGGCTGCTTTCAGTTTCTCAAGAGAGATTCCATAATTTTCAAAACAAAATTGGTTATGTTTTTTTCTTTTTTTTTTACTCTGGGATACAAAAGTACCTCATTGCTTCATTCTGTGGCATCTTTTGCCAGTGAAGTACAGGTCCTACCAACTGGAAAGGCTACTGATAGCCTGTTATCTAAAAACCAACCTCTCTATGTTAGTATAGGTTTATCAGTAAAATGTTGGCCACTGGGTGATGAAGGTTTCGGCTGTAACAATTCATAAAACTGTCTACTAGGTTGTAGGTTCTCTCTCAAGGATATACCTGAACTCTTAAGTTATTGATCTTTTTGACCTGCCATGAGGTTTGGGTATCACAGAAGGAAGGTCCATGACCTTCCTAGCACATACTACTATATCCAGAGAACTCACCTGCCATCCCAGGTCTTGAAAGCTCACATAAAGTTCATGCTTTCTGCAGGCTGTTTTTAAATCACTGCTATTATAATCTGTCAGAGGAAGCACAGTCATAATCACATACTTTAAACAAACTTAGAAGTAAAACAAATCCAATGATATTTGTACAGGTGGTCAATTTCGTTCCTTGGGGGGCAGTTTTCTTATCTATCCATACAGGAATCAATCAGGTAGCAAATATTTATATAGTATATTCTGCTAGGCACCAGGGGGATAAAAAGTCACTGGGGTCACTACCTTCAGTGAGTTTACAACCTAGGTGGGAAAAACCACACACACACACACACACACACACACACACACACACACACACACACAGAAAGAGAGAACTAACAGTAAACTATGCACTCCTGTTATAAATCTGGTCCTGTAGTAGTGCATAATCTTTATGATGTGTTGCCTCTTTGCTAATATTTTGTTTAAAATTTTTGCATCAATACTCAGTAGGGATAGTTTTCTTTTTCTGTGTTGACTCTCCCTGGTTTAGGTATCAAGACCATATGTAAGTTATAGAAGGAATCTGACAGGGTCTCTTTTCCTTTTTTTTTTTTTTCAGACAGTTGGTACAGTATTTGAATTAATTTTTCTTTAAATGTTTAGTAGAATTCACTTTAAAATCCATATGGTCCTTTTTTTCCCTTTGGGAGTAGATTATAGCTTGTTTAATTTCTTTTTCTAAGATGGGGTTATTTAAAAATTATATTTCCCATTTCATTAATCTCAGTTTATGATTCTGTAAATTCATCCACTTCATTTAGACTGTCAGTTTTACTGTCATACAGTTGGGCAAAATTACTCCTAATAATTTCTTTTATTTCTTCTTTATTGGTTGTGAATTCACCTTTTTCATTTTTGATACTGCTCATTTGTTTTCTTTTTTTAATTAAGTTTTTGTTGCTCAGTTGTTTTGGTTGTATCCAACTCTTTGTGACTTCATTTGGGGTTTTCTTGGCAAAGATACTGGAGTGATTTGCCATTTCCTTCTCCAGCTCGTTTTAAAGATGAGGAAACTGAGGCAAATAGGGTTAAGTGACTTACCCAAGGTCACATGGCTTGTAAGTGTCTGAACCTAGATTCAAACTCAAGTTTTCCTGACTCCAGTTAGCTAATGACTAATGAATCAATTCTATGCATTTAAAAACTTTTTTATTGGTCCTCTTTTTTTGAGGGCATCACTATCATTTACCTTCCCCTCCACTACCTTCAAATACCCCCTCCCATTAAAAAAAGAGGAAAAAGTCCTTGTAAAAATAAGCATAGACAAGCAAAAAAAAAATCGATAGTGACCATGCCCAAAAATTTATTTCTCTTTCTTTGCCTTGACTCTATCACCTCTCTGTTAGTAAATGGGTAATGTGCTTCATCATCTACCTCATCTGAAGATTTGACTGGGTATTACATTGATCAGAGTTCTTAAGTCTCGAAGTTCGTTAGAATGTTATTGTCCTTACATAAATTATTCTCTTGGTTCTACTTCCCAGGATTTTCTGAAATTGTCTCTTTTGTCATTTCTTACAGTTCAATAATATTCTATTATATTCACCGTAATCAGTTGATGGGCACCCACTTAATTTTCAGTTCTTTTAACTCCCCTTCAGGTTCAGGAAATTTTTTTGGTTCCAACTCTTTGCTCCCCAGTATTATTCTTCCTCTTAATCACCCCCTCCCTATTCCCACCTGTTTCCTTACTGAATTTGATGTATTCCTACACCAAACTCTTTATGCGAGTATGTGTGTGTGTGTGTGTTCAACCCTTCTTCATGCAGTTTATGACTGAGTTGTATCTGATGCCCATTCCCCTACCCTTTCCTCCATATTTATATACTCTGCTTCTCATGCACCACATTTTAAGAAATAGCAAATTCTTCCTCCTTTCTACACTAGTATATTTCTTTTACTCTTCTTCTCTATTCTTTCTTTGAACCTTCAGAACATAACCAATTTACCCATCAGGTTCTGTGTTGTTTTTTTTTTAAATTTCCCTTAGTACCTTTTGAAGACAATAAGTTTCTTTCTTCTACTCCTATTAGAATGTCGTCATTATATAGTACAATCTCCCCAAACTAGAATGTTTATTAAATAAAGCATGTCATTATAAAGTACAATCCAGTTGCTTGAATAAATTTCCCTTTCTAGATTTGGATGGACTCTTGTGTTTCAAAGTTCATATTCAGTTCTGTTTTTTTCCTTCAGAAGTGCTTGGAAGTCCTCTATTCCATTAAAGATCCATTTTTTTCCTGTAGGATTATACTCAACTCTGCAGGTTATTCTTGGTTGTAAGCCAATATCTTTTGCTTTTTCGAATATAAGCATGCCTTAGAGATATTGCAGGTTTGGTTCTAGACCACCATAATAAAAAAAAAATATCACAATAGTGTGTGTCACAAACTTTTTACTTTCTCAGTGCATATAAAAGTGATGTTTATACTAAACTGTAGTCAATTAAGTATACAATAGTATTATGTCTGAAAAACATACATACCTTAATTAAAAAATATTTTATTGAAAAAAATATTCACCATTACCTGAGCCTTCAGCAAGTTGTAATCTTTTGGCTGGTGGAGGGTCTTATGTTGATGGCTGCTGATTGATCAGAGTGGTGGTTGCTGAAGGTTAGGGTGGCTCTAGCAATTTCTTAAAAAACAATGAAGTTTGCTGCATAAATTGACTCTTCCTTTCACTCAAATACTTAGAGGTCATTGAAAGATTATTAATTGGCCTGATTTCAATATTGTTGTGTCTTAGGGAATTGGGAGGCCCAAGGAGGGAGAGAGACAGGAACAGTTGGTTGGTGGAGTAGTCAGAACATACAACATTCATCAGTTAAATTTGCCATCTTATATGGGCATGGTTTGTGCTAACAAAGATCACTGATTATAGCTCACTATAACAGATATAATAATATGAAAAAGTTTGAAATATTGTGAGAACTATTATAATGTGACACAGTGACACAATGTGAGTACATGCTTTTGGAAAAATGGTGCTGATAGACTTGCTTGACACAGGGTTGCCACAAACCTTCAACGTGTAACAAAAAGAAATGCAGCATCTGCAAAGCACATATATGCCTGTATTGTATTCCAAGATCTCTCATTTATAGGAACAGTTGTGAAGTTGTCACATCTTGTGTGATCCTGACAGCAGTTCCTTGGACTCTTTTCTAGAAGCTTTTGGTATTTTTTCTTCGATGTGGAAGCTCTAGACTTTGGTTATGATGTTCCTAGGTCTTTTCCTCTTGTGGTTTCTTTTAGGAAGTCATTGGTGGATACTATCTTCACTTTGCCTTCCAGTTCTGACAGATCTGGGCAGTTTTCATTTAGGCTTTTCTTAAATATCATTGCAGACTTTTAAAGAAGTTGAGGTTTTCAGTGTATCTACTGATTTTTAAGTTATTCCTCTTTGTCCTATGTTGCGGGTCACTTATAACTGATATCACTTCTCTTATATTTCTTTTTTTTTCCAATCATTTGATTTTCTTCTACTAGTTCTTGCTGTCTCATGGAATTCTGGATTTCTGTTTGGTCTGTTTCAGTTTTCAGGGATTCTCTTACTTTGATAAAGTTATTTTTTTTGTCCTTCTAGTTCTTTCCTCTATAGTTTTTTTTGTTCATTTTTTACCTTTTGTTCCATTTCTTCTAGGTATTTATTTAGTTTGTGGAAAGTCCATGTTTTACTTTGAGTCTCTTGAAGAGTTATGGTGCATATCTCTCTAGATATACAATAATTCTTTATAGTGGTTGGTTTTTCTTAGGTTTATTCAACCTGAGCCTTAGTTTGTATGTGTCCCTCAGGGTTCTGTCCTGCTCCTTCTTCTCTTATCCATCTATACAATTTCATTTGGTGATCTCATCAGCTCTCATGGATTGAATTGCCATCTCTATGCTAATGATTCTCAGATCTACTTGTCTTGTGCAAAATTCTCCACTCTCACATCTCCAACTATCATTCAGACATCTCAAACTGGATATCCAGAAGACATCTTAAACGCAACATGTCCAAAATGGAAATCATCATCTTTCCCCTTAAACTCTCCCCTCTTCTTCCTTCCTTCCCTATTAACATAGGGAGCAATACCATCCTCCCGATCCCTCAAGCTTGCAACCTCGGAGTCATTCTGGATGCCTCACTATCTCTCACTTCCTGTGTCTAATTTGTTGCCAAGGCCTGTTGATTTCACCTTTGCAACATCTCTTGAATGTGCTTTCTTCTCTCCTCTGACACTGCCCCCAGTCTAGTGTGGTCCCTCATCCCCTCATCAATAGCCCACACCTGGACTATTGCACTAGCCTGCTGATGGGTCTGCCTGCCTCAAGTCTTTCCCCCTCCAATCCATCCTCCATTCAGTCATGAAGTTATTTTCCTAAAGCATAGGTCCAACCTTATCACTCCCCCAGCCCCCAACTCCAGTGGCTCCCTGTTGCCTCCCAGATCTAATACAAAATGCTCTGTTTGGCATTCAAAACCATTCATAACCAAGCCCTCTCTTACCTTTCCAGTCTCCAACACATATTCTTTGATCCAGTGACACTGGCCTCCTTGCTGTTCTACAAACAAGACACTCCATCTCTCAGCTCTGGGCATTTTTTATGGTCATTTCCTATGCCTGGAAGGCTCCCCTTCCTCTACTCCACCTACTAACTTCTCATCTAAAGTCCCAACTAAAATCCCATTTTTTACTGGAAGTCTTCCCAAATTCTCTTAATTCTAATGTCTTCCTCCAGTTAATTACTTCCTCTTCATCCTGTATATAGTTCCCTCTGTATATATTTGTTTGCAAGTTATCTCCCCCATTAGATTGTAAGGACAGGAATTGCCTTTTGCCTCTTTTTATATCCCCAGCACTTAGCACAGTGCCTAACATAGTAGGTGCTTAATGTTTATTGACTGATTAAACTGGGGCTTTGTTCCTGGACCAAGCTCTGCCCCTGCTACACTTTTAGGTGGGATGACTGGAATGGTTTGGTTTTTCCTAGGGTCACTTGGGTTCTTTTGCTAAGGGTCAGAAACTGGCTTTTCACAGCCCCCAGTG